TCTAAACTAAACTAGAGAAAAGGGTTTTAAAAATAAAATGGCAGCTCACTCCTACAAACTCCTCACTGAACTATTTACACTAATCAATGTGATGAGTGACAGCAGGTCAGCTCTGGCTGGTTGGGGAGAGCAGGTGGGTGGAAGTCATCACAAACTCGCCATGGCACCCAGCCCACTTTCAGCTTCTTGATGTCTTCCTCCAATCACCGCCGTTCACCTGGACACTGATTTGCACACAATTAGCTGTTGCACACATTCGCACTCACAAAACGTACGATGACAGCCGTAACACTCGTGACAAAGGGATGAACAGTGATGATCTGTCACCTGCTCCTTTACTTCTCCCATAGAGCCCATAAAGCTTATTTTGGAAAATTATTAAATGTATCCATCCATTATCTTTACCCGCTTCTTCCTTTTCAGTTAGCGGGAGTCACTGGTGTCCATATCCAGCAGTCACTGTGCGAGAGCAGGGGGACACCCTGGACAGGTCTCCAGTCCATCACAGGGACACATAGAGGCAAACGAGACAAACAACCATTCACTTTGACAGCCACAGCATTATCTCTCATCAGGACTATGGGGACTATCTGGCAGTGTCCACGGACAAACTCACCACATTCGTTCATGTTACAAATCATGTTACAAATCATGTTACAAAGAGTACCATGCCACTGTTAAATCAGAAAAAAACCCAAATATTTCTCCCAAATCGTCGCCTCAAACAGCCACAATCCCCGCATTCTTTTCAACACCATTAACTCCATTTTAACCGTGCCTCAGTCTGCCAACAGGGAGGTCTCTGCAGTTACATGTGAGGACTTTGCCAGTTTCTTTGTTAAAAAGGCTGAGTCTATCAGGTCACTGATTCCTCACACCACAGCTGACCCCTCTGTCTTTGTCCCCTCCACATCAGTCTTTAACCAGGTTGAACCCATTTCCCTCTCATTTCTAAATGGCGTCATTGGTCATATGAAACCCTCAGGTTCCCCTGCTGACCCCATCCCTGCATCATTTTTTAAACAAGTCCTACCCTCCATTGGACCCTCTGTTCTTGACATTATAAACAGCAGTATGGCTACAGGTGTGGTTCCTGACGCTTTTAAACATGCAGTGGTAACTCCTTTAATAAAAAAAACCCAGACTTGACCCTTCAACCTGCTCAAACTTCAGACCTATCTCCAAACTTCCCTTTCTTTCTAAGATCCTGGAGAAAATAGTTTTCACTCAATTAAACAAGTTCTTGAGTGGAAATTCTATTCTTGAGATCTTTCAGTCTGGCTTTAAGAAACTACACAGCACCGAAACAGCCTTAGTTAGGGTCTGCAACGACATTCTTCTGGCAAATGACTCTGGTCAGTCTGTAGTCCTGGTACTCCTTGACCTTACCAATGCATTTGATACTGTGGACCACAGTATCCTTTAATTCGGCCTAGAACACTGGGTTTGGATTACTGGTGCAGCATTAGAAAGGTTCCATTCATACCTGAGCAACAGGAGTTTTTGTGTTAATTTTGCTAACACTCTATCTACTTCAGTGCCTCTTTCCTGCGGGGTCTCGCAAGGCTCCATTCTTGGACCCCTTCTGTTTTCTCTGTATCTCCTCTCCTTAGGGTCTATCCTGAGGAAACATGGTCTTTCCTTTCATTGTTATGTTGATGACGCTCAGATTTATCTGCCGTTAACACCTAACAGTTCCTCCTCCATTCGCCCTTTGTTAAAATGTCTTGATGACATCAAGGGGCTGTTTACACAGCGTGTATTTTAAGTGCATCCGCAGCTTTCTCTCTGCGGTTTTGCTGATCATTTACACGACACCAGTGGCCCCCCTCTTTGAATCCGGAGGTTTTCGAATCCACCTTCCAAAGTGGAGGTTTTTCGCTGACCCCTGCTGATAATGTAAACATCTCCCGCTGAGGCTTTGTGTTAAACAACATGCGCACACGCACGCGTGGACCAACGCTATATTTCTATCAACATGGTGGCGGACACAATGCTTTCTGAACTACGACTGATGGAATATATTTTTTAATCTCGTAGTTAATCTACGTCAGATTCCAGGTGCTGTGACCAACATCTCTGTTGCAAGAGACAGTCTGATCCCGTTCTAATATCACTGTTTATAGAATGAGGCACGCGTACACGTCGCGCTGCACTAGAACATACTATGTGCTAAATAACAATTTTAATAATAATAAACAGTATTTATCTTAAGTTTGCGATATATAATGAAGCTATCTGGACATTATGTAATTCAAATTATGTGATTAAAATTATGCTAAACATATTGCATGTTATTAAAGTTGAAAATGAAAACATCAGGTTTAATTTTTATTTTATTTATTTATTCAACACCACAAACTGTATGTCACACAAACACTGATAATTAAACTGAACACACGATTAAAAACAAGTTAACTGTAAACTACATTAATGAACTGGACTCTTCCTCTGTTTTCATCCTGGATGTCCCACGTTGTCCATCTGGTTAGTTCAAGAAGTCACTCCTTTGATTAATGCAACTTAAAACATTCAATGGATTGAATAAAAGAACTGAGGAGAATTTTAAATAAATAATTCATCCAACATCTCTGTCTTCGACGTCCTCCTGCAGTTCATCTGGGCCGAGCCTCGTTCAGAACCGGTCCGCCTGGTGGAAGGACAGCTTCTTCTTCTTTCAGGAAAAATAAAAACTCGGTTGGTTGTTTTGTAACCAAATTAAACACAAGCAAACATTATTAAGAACATTTGATTTACCTGCAATAAATCAGATACTGATTATCACAGAATAAAGTCCGACATCGTCGACTCGGTTCTGGTCCGCTCAGCGACCGGTGTGGAGCTGTTAGACGAAGAGGTCCCGCTTGACGTCAAATCTGTCGACTCTCATCCAAAATCCAGCTTTAACTTGTTGTTACGTTGTTGTTAGTTGATTAGCCCAAAGAATAACAGTGTGCCGAGGCAGCACGCATGCGCATTAGGTGAAGGTACAAAATTCACAGCGCCATCTAATGACCCGGCATGGTAACTACAGCGGATTCGGGAGGGCGGGGGGGGGGGGGGGTCCTCCGGATGCATGTAAAGGTGAAATCCGACCGTGTCAACGCACATCTTTTCCTTTAATTAACATACGAAAAAAACCTACGTTTCCCCCATCGTGTCCGTGTAAATAGGGCCCAAGACTTGGATGGCTGTGAACTTCTTGAGCTTAATGATCAGAAGACTGAGGTCATTGTGTTTAACTGTAGCTCTGCCACTGTCACTGATCCTGCAAACCTGGACTCCCTTCAGTCATATCTAAAGCAGTCGGTTACCAATCTCAGGATAGTTTTAGACTCAGACTTTAAGTTTAATAAGCAGATAAATTCTGTTTTTCAAAAAAGCTTCTTTCAGCTAAGGCTGATAGCTAAGCTCAAGTCCGTGCTGTCCAAATCTGACTGTGTAAAATTAGTCCATGCATTTATTACAACCCGACTGGACTACTGTAACTCGCTTTATGCTGGGGTCAGTCAGGTCTCTCTCTTGCGTTTCCAGCTTGTCCAAAATGCTGCAGCTCGGCTACTAACAGGAACTCGCAGATTTGAGCACATTACTCCGGTTCTGTCCTCCCTTCACTGGCTTCCTGTGCATGTCAGAGCTGATTTTAAGATTCTTCTGCTGACATTTAAGGTTGTTTTCACCAGATGCTGGTCTGCTGACTGCTGATTGGTTCCAGGAACTCGTCTTAAGCTCAGAGGTGACAGGACCTTCTCTGTTGTAGGTCCAAGACTGTGGAATGAGTTGCCACTGCATGTCAGGCAGGCTCCCTCTCCCATGGTTTTTAAGTCTTGTTTGAAAACACACTTTTATTCCCTGGCTTTCGATCCACTGTGAGTTGATTTTAACTTCACCATGTTTTTATCATAGTCATTTACTTTCTTATCTTTACCTCTGTGAATTTATGTATTACCCAGTGTCCTTTGCAATTTGTTTTGTTCTTCAGCACATTGGTTGTTCTTGTTGCTGTTTTTAAGTGCTTTATAAATAAAGTGGTATGGTATGGTAAAGTGTTAAAAGCCATAGTTTAAAGTTGCAGAAAAACAAAATGCTCATAATTTCTGATAAATTCTCATGAATCTCAGAATTAAAACATATTGCTCCTTGTTGTGAAATAAAGATTGTGTTCCTTGTTGAATCTGACTCCCACTTCTTGTTTTACTTTGAAATTGACCCACTTCCTGTTTTACTTTGAAGAGGCTCCCACAGATTGATTTCTCTGTTGAAATCTGTTCCTGTTTACATCATGTGACACGATGTCTCACACTTCTGATTGGTTTGAAACTGGCCAATCCCATGACAGCAGGCTTGAGAGCGCGATGAAAAGTTAGTTTTTATGTGTGAAGAAACGCCCTGTTTTTAGACAAAGGAAAGTGCGTTTTCTCCTCGAAGCAGTCAGCCAGACGGAGCAGAGAGACGGTCGACTTCAGATTCCTCCTTAACAAGGTTGTATCGTATAGTTTAATGGATGCGCATCCAATTAATTATATGTTAAAATAATGACTGCATTTAACTAATCCACTGTTTATGCTTGTGAATCTGTGACTTTCTTTGCTTATTAAATATTCGTAAACTTGAAGGTGCGTTTGTCGTATTCTGAGTGCGTGTCTTGACTCCTCCTGCAGGGGAACGGTAACAGCAGAGCTCGGGTGGAGAAATAAGATAAAAAACACAACACTCCTTAACATTTGATCAGTGAACTGTTTTTTTGACTCTATAGCATTGTTTGAGCTTAAAACTAGAGAAAATACAGATTGATTTGACTGTCAACACTAAAGAATGAGGAAGTAGACCTACTGCGGTGGAGAAGTATTTCATTTTGTTCAGTTCTGTATTTGTCCTATTTCATCCACAGCCTCAGTCCGTTTTCTGTTGATACTTTAAAGATTTGTTGAACGTTGCTTTTGTCTGCATCATGTAATATCAGACCGACTGTGTTCAGGATTTTTTTTTCTTTTTTTCAGGGGGATCAAACTGTCTGGACTTTTCCCTTTGAGACCCTCCATCACCAATCAAAACTTGTTTCCAGCTCTGCAAAATATCTCAGTTGGCTCCTACTCTGAGTCTTCTGTGGAAGTGAAACAGAAACTGGGGTCAGCACAGACCCAACAAACGGCAAATCCTCATCAAAATGAGGGAAATCAAGAGTCTTTGCATGAAAGACAGCTCAGTTGTGTTTCAACAAGTGCTGCTTCAGTCTCTTGCATAAAGACTTGGAAAGACTCGAAGAGAAGCTCTGACAAAGTATTCATCGCCACTTCATCCAGGGTGTTAAACTCTCATACCTACAGAATTAACCACAAAGCAACCTGTCGCCCAAAGTCTCAAATTGTTTTCCTCAAGACACACAAAACAGCCAGCAGCAGTGTCCTAAACATTTTATATCGTTTTGGTGACAGCAAGAACTTGACCTTTGCTCTCCCTCTGAAGAAACACAGCCAAATGTTTTACCCATTTTTCTTTGATTCACGTTTTGTTAAAGGCTTCAGCAGCAGAAGTGGGAGAGATTTCAACATCATGTGCAACCACATGAGATTCAGAAAATCTGAGGTGAGCTTTATCGGAAAATAATTCAAGCTGTGGCCTTTTTATTGTTCTTGTTTTGGATTGTGTGTATGGTTTTAAGTTCAGTGGAGTTAGACAATTTGAGACAAAAACTGCAACTCAGATCAAAATTAACACAAACAGGCACACACATTGTGGTTGCTAATAAGATGAGGTCACACACACATGCAACAACATTGTTGCTCAGCTTTAGCCTTTATAGTGGTAAACATATACAGTACATTGGCATCAGACGCATTTGTAATGTGGGGGGGACACACTGGTGGGGAGGTCTGGGGGTCCTTTCCCAGAAAATTTTGAATGAAGTATATGCCATTCATGAATTCATTCAGAATTCATACATTCTGGTGTATTTTAACGGGTTGTTAAACATCTACGTTTACCTCATATGTGTCAACCTCAAGGCCTGGGGGCCAATTGCGGCCCTCGTTGACATCTGGCTCCCAAGATTATATGTGAAACGTAAAATACTTCTGTCTTTATTTTTTTTAGCAATCTTTGACTATGATGTGCAGCACGGTGGCGCAACTGGTAGAGCTGCTGCCTCTCAGCGAACAGGTCCCTGGTTCAAACCCCGGTCCAGGTGCCTTCTGGGTGGAGTTTGCATGTTCTCTCCGTGCATGCGTGGGTTTTCTCCGGGTACTCCGGTTTCCTCCCACAGACCAAAAACATGCATGTTAGGTTGATTGGTAACTCTAAATTGTCCCTAGGTGTGAGTGAGAGAGTGAATGGTTGTTTGTCTCGTGTGTCTCTATGTGTCCCTGTGATGGACTTGCGACCTGTCCAGGGTGTACCCCGCCCCTCGCACAGTGATTGCTGGACATGGGCACCAGCGACCCCCGTGACCCAAAATGGAATAAACGGGTAAAGATAATGGATGGATGGATGGATGATTATGATGTGGAATGCACAACAGAGAACATTAAATGAGACCAGTCAAGCTCTTGTTGAGGAACCTGCAACCAAGAAAAGATGTTGGTATCTGATTTGAGTTAATGTAGTTTTTGAAATTGGCCCTTAGTTTGAAAAAGGTTTTCATTTTGGCCCACTTTTGTAAGTGAGTTTGACACCCCTGGTTTACCTACATAAGTAAACACTTGATTCAATAACAATTTTAGAGCATGGCACAACAAGACGTAACCTGACCAACAGCTCTCCTTGTGTGAATAGAGCATGCTCCACTTCTTTCATGCATCCAACCCCCCCCACCCCCACCCCCCCATTGACAAATGCCAGCACAAACGGCTAAGATGCTACAGAAATAGCGCTCCACTATTCTCATGCATCCTAACCCCCTGCCCCACCCCGATCAACAACCGCCTGCACTAAATGGCGCTAAGCTAGCACGCAATACAGAGGCCTCTCCCCTTCTTCCCCTCGCCCTGTCCACAAAACCCCCGAAAAGATGAGCGCCCTGCCAAGCCAAGTGACCTCAGAGAAACACTGCATGCGGTGAGTTGCTGTAGGTAACTAGGAAAACCTGGAGTGGACTTTTACTGGTTTGAGTATTCTCCTATTAATCAAGTGGAATGGATTAGTTCATGAAGAAACAGAAACAACAACTAATATTTCATGGTAAATGTGGGGGAGTCCAAGTTAATATTTTTTTAAATGTGAGGGGGCCACGTCCCCATCACATATAATTGATGTGATGCCTATGGACATATATGTTAGCCTTATTTGAAAGTGCAAGGTGCTCCTATATAAATACTCCTATTTAGGTGACATGATGTGGGTTAATAGGCTAATAGCAACTGTGGCCCTCAGTGTGAACCACATTTTCTTGGCAACTCCCTGTAAAATTAAAGAATATTAAAACTAAAGGACTTTCCAGAATAGTCTCATGTGCCAGACCTCACTGGCAGTGGTCTGTTCTGATCAGCTGGTTGGATGTGGATAAAATGTTTTGTTTGTGTAAAAATTGTCTAAACTTTTTTGCTTTCTGTGTCTCAGGTGGCAAAAGTGATGCCTGCAGACACATTTTACTTTTCCATCCTGAGACACCCTGTAGCTATGATGGAGTCCATCTTTACTTACTATAAGAACATCCCAGCATTCCAAAAAGCTCACAGCCTAGAGGACTTCTTGAACACCTGCTGGAAGGACTACGAACCCTCAGTGAGAAACAACCACTACGCCCACAACATCCTGGCTTTTGACTTTGGCTTTGACAACAACATAGCACATGGAGCCAAAGACTTAGATGAGAGAGCTGCCATGGCTGTTACAGCAATAGAAAGGGACTTCCATCTTGTTCTGATTTCAGATTACTTTGACGAGTCCATGATCTTGCTCAAGCACGCCCTTTGTTGGTCCCTGGAAGATGTGATTTCCTTCAAGCTGAACGGTCGTAGTGAACAAACTCGCCGCAAAGTTTCACCTGAAACGGCAGCAAAAATCAAGCAGTGGAACGCTTTAGACTGGAGAATTTACCTGCACTTCAACTCCACCTTCTGGCACAAGGTGGAGAGCCTGGTTGGGCAGGAGCAGATGAAGTGGGAAGTATCTCAGCTGAACAGGTTACGGGCCAAACTAGCAGACACCTGTCTACAAGGTGGAAGAGCTGTTGATCCATCAAAAATTAAAGAGCCAGACCTGAAGCCGTTTCAGTACGGAGACGCTGTGATTCAGGGCTACAACTTAAACTCACATCTACTCAAAGAAACCAAAACTATTTGTAAGAGGCTTATAACTCCTGAACTGCAGTACACAAATAATCTATACACGAAGCAGTTCCAGGCATAGCTGCCCATCTGAAACTCAGATGTGAATGTCCTAGAACAAAGAAATACTGAAAATCTAAAAGGTTTACACAAGTATCTGCTTAAAGGTACTCGTTGTGAGCTATAAAATAAGACAAAAATTACAATGAACTTTTTCAAATTGTGCAATCTGAGAGATTTTGCCAGATATAAGCAACGTAAATCTATTAATTTGTGTCAGTGTATTAATTTGTTATTTTTCTTACTGTTTTTGTCTTTTATGGTTAACTTTTTTAGATTTTTCTACCTGGATTATTGAGCATGCATCAGGATGTCTTTTATGGTTATTTAAATTGTTCAAGCGTTTGTAACTGTATTATGTTTGTGACTTACGTAACTGTTTTATGATGTGTGTTACTATTTAGTTTTTCTCGGTGCAGCCAGGGGGCGGAGGGAGTCCGGGTCGGTGGCCTCAGATTTCCATCTCTGCTCTTTGCAGACCATGTGGTCCTGTTGGCGGCATCATGTCATGACCTCCAGCTCTCACGGGAGCGGTTCACAGCCGAGTGTGAAGCAGCTGAGATGAGAATCAGCACCTCCAGATCTGAGGCCATGGTTCTCAGTCAGAAAAGGGTGGATTGCTCTCTTCAGGTCCAGTGGTAGAGAAAGAACTCAAACACTGTACTTAAGTAAAAGTACAAATAAACAGACAAAAATGTACTCTAGTAAAAGAAGTACCACATTACCATTTTTACTTAAGTAAAAGTAAATAAGTACTTGCTTTTAAAATACTTAAAGCACTAAAAGTAAAAGTACTTCCTGAAAGTATTACATAATGCAATGGTCTACATATCTTTAAGTGTACTTACTGTTTGTATATTTTCTGTAATACATTAATAGTGTTGTTCCATTTTACTGAACAATGCTGCAGATAATACATGTTTTTATTGTGTTTACTCTGTGACACAGTTCAACTTGGACTTGTGATTCTGTGTGTCAGAATTTCAGGGATGACCTGCAGAGTTAAATGACATTAATCAAAATAAGAAAGAGGAATGATTATACCTTTGAAAATTTTTATTTAACACAAATCAAAACCAATGTGTCATTTTAACTGCAGTAAACACATTTAAGTAAAAGTTGTCTGTTTGAAAAAAGGAGCATTAGACCAAACAAAGGAACAGGCTCTGATCATTTCAACTCCAGTTTGTCATCAGCACTAGTTAAAATACTGTGTATTCAACCTTGTAATGGGTCAATATTGAACAATATTTTAACTTCCTGACACCATTTTTAAAACTTGGACCTGAGTGTCGAGTCATTTGGAGACATCTCTTGTCTCCTAACATCATGAACTGACACATTTTAATGTTGCAGCAAGAATTTCTTGTTCAAGTTCAGAAGAAGTTGGTTTTCAAAGATTTTTGAGTCCAGTCTGGCTCTTTTGGGAGAGAGAATCTGTCCTGTTGTACTGAGCAGTCTTTCAATAAGGTCATGGGTGGAGCATATCTTCTGGCTGACTCTCTTGCGCTGGAATACATTTTGGGTGTGTTAGTGGTGCTGCGGGTGCACCCAGCTCAGTGACATATATACTACAATATATGTCATTGGTCCAGCTTTTCTTGAAGGCGGGCCTAACGTTACCTGCCCACTTTGCAGTGATTCAATGGACCAGCTCCTCTCACCATTGGTTACTTTCAAAGTAACAAACAAATCAAAAAGCCGCAACATGAATGTAACTTGTAATGCAACGCATTATAGAAATGTAGTGTAGTAGAAAGTACAGATACTTGATGTAAAATGTAGTGGAGTAAAAGTATAAAGTACCCACATTTAACTCTACTTAAGTAAAGTACAGATACATGAAAAATGTACTTAAGTACAGTAACAAAGTATTTGTACTTAGTTACATCCCACCACTGTTCAGGTCGAGGGTGAGGTTCTGCCAGTTCAAGTATCTCAAAGGTTTTGTTCATGAGTGAGGAAAGAATGGAGTATGAGATTGACAGATGGATTGGTGCAGCTTCTGCAGTATTGCAGACTCTGTACCGGTCCGTTGTGGTGAAGAGGGAGCTGAGCTGTAAGACAAAGCTCTCTGTTTACCGGTTGGTCTACGTTCCTCCCCTCACCCGTGGTCATGAACTCTGGGTAGTGACTGAAAGAACGAGATTGTGGATACAGGAGGTTGAAATGAGTTTCCTCTGCAGGGTAGCTGGACTGTCCCTTAGAGACAGGAAGAGAAGATTAGTTATCAGGAGAGACTCAGGGTCGAACTGCTGCTCCTCCATATGGCGGGGAGCCAGTTGAGGTGGTTTGGGCATCTGGTATGCTTCATGCGCCTCCCTAGGGAGGTGCTTCGGACATGTCCAACTGGGAGAAGACCACGGGGAAGACCCAGGACACGCTGGAGAGATTGTCTCTCAGTTGGCCTGAGAACAGCTTGGAGTCCTCCCAAAAGAGCTGGAAGAGGCGGCTGTGGAAAGATGTCTGGGCCTCACTGCTCAAGATGCTGCCCCCAAGACCTGACTCCAGAACAAATGGAAGATGATGGAAGGATGGATGGATGGATGGATGGATGGATGGATGGATGGATGGATGGA